GGGCAGTGCAGGTGGGGTTGCCAGAGGGATCCTCTACCGCTGGCACAGCTGATGGCTGATAGCATCACTCAGGACGGTTTTCTCTGTTTCTGTAGTGCTTTAGATAATGGCATTATGAGGGCATTTGCTCTTTCTGGGCATGGCATCCCTGCCCCTTTGCCATGGCAATGCAGTGGAGCAGTTCTTCTGTGAAATCCCCCAGATCCTCAAGCTCTCCTGCTCAGATGCCTACCTCAAAGAAGTTTGGGCACTTGTGTTTAATGTTTCTTTAGTCTTTGGTTGTTTTGTCTTCATAGTGGTGTCCTATGTGCTGATCTTCAGAGCGTTGCCGAGGATGCCCTCTGAGCAAGGCAAGCACAAAGCCTTTTCCACGTGCCTCCCTCACCTGGCCGTGGTCTTTCTGTTTGTCAGTATGGCATATTTGCCTACCTGAAGCCCCCCTCCATTTCCTCACCATCGCTGGACTCCTGGTGGTGTCATTTCTGTACTCGGTGGTGCCTCCAGCAGTGAACCCCCTCATCTACAGCATGATGAACCAGGAGCTCAAGCATGCAGTGAGGAAACTTTTTCAATACATGCTTCTTAAGCATCAGTGATGTATTCCAAAGATATATGCTTAATAATAAAATACTATGATTCATATTGTGATTCATATTATATATCATTTTTATAGCTACTAGTGTTATCGTAACATAATCAATAATACTAGTCCTAACAGATATCAAAGGGTATTTCAGAAAATGATACAACATTGTAAAAATTATTTTTTTGGAAGACCAACTGATGTCATCTACTTGGACTTCTGTGAGACCTTTGACATGGTCCCACAGGATAGCCTGGTCCCCAAATTCAAGAGATATGCATTTCACAGGTGCACCATTCAGTGCATAAGAAGTTGGCTTGAAAGTCACACCCAGAGAGGTAGACATAGAATTACATAGTGGAATAGAATGCACTCTCAGCAAGTGTGCAGATGATACCAAACTGAGTGGTGTAGTGGATGCAGTGGAGGAAGGGGTGCCATCCAAAGGGTTCTGGACAAGCTTGAAATTTGGGCCCCTGTGAACCTAAGGAAGTTCAACAAGTTTGAGTGCAAGCTTCTGCACCTGGGCCGGGGAAATCCCAGACATGAGAATAGGCTGGGAGAAGAACTCATTAAGAGCAGCCCTGCAGGGAAGGACTTGGGGGTTCTGCTGGACTAAAAGCTCAACAGGAGCCAGCAGTGTGCGCTTGTAGCCCAGATAACCAACTGCATCCTGGGCTGCAGCAACAGAGGAGTGGCCATGAAGTGAACGCAGGTGATTGTGCCCCTCTGCTCTGTCCTTTTGAGGCCTCACTTGGAGTCCTGCATCCAGGTCTGGGGCCCCCAGCACAAGAAGAATGTGAATATTTGAGAACAGTTCCAGAGGAGGGTCACAAAGATGATCAAAGGGCTGGAGCACCTCTCCTATGAAGAAAGGCTGAGAGAGCTGGGGCTGTTCAGCCTGGAGAAGAGAAGGCTCCGGGCTGACCTCTTTGTGGCCTTTCTGTACTTGAAGGAGTCTTATAAAAAAGATGGAGGACACCTATTTGCTCAATCAGATATTGACAGGACAAGGGGCAATGGTTTTAATCTAGAAGAGGAGAGATTTCTAGTAGAGGTTAGGAGGAAATTCTTCACTCAGAGCATGGTGAGGCACTGGAACAGGTTGCCCAGAGAGACTGTGGATGTTCCATGCTTCGGGGTGTTCAAGACCATGTTAGATGAGGCCCTGAGCAACCTGATCGAGGGTGTGGCATCCCTGCTTATGGCCGGGGGGTTGGAACTAGATGGTCTTTAAGGTCCATTCCAACTCAAGCCATTGTATGATTCTATGATTGTGCTTCAAAGGCAAAATAATAATAATAATAATAATAATGCATGGTATTGGGCTTCAGAATACTCAATGATCCTTTGTGATATGGTTTAGTGGAGGACTTGTTAGTGTTAGGTCAGAGGTTGGACTCTGTGATCTTGGAAGTCTCTTCCAACCTAGATGATTCTGTGATTCTGTGATCTAGTTCATCCATGTGATAAAACCCTGCAAGCAGCAGGAAGGACAGTGAAATGTGGCCTAACATGAAGGAGGTTCCAGACTGCTGGTGTAGAAACAGAATTTTTGTGCCATGACCAATGCAGTATATGCTGCAGGAAAAGGCCTGCACCTGAAATAAAAGGCCTAGGCCAGCACCAGTGTGACACAAGCTTGAGATTTGGGTGCATGTGAACCTTACGGAACCACAGGATCTTTAAGGTCCCTTCCAACCCAAGCTGTTCTATGATTTTGTGTTTAGCAGCCCTGTACAGCCCCTGAGGGGTACAGCCTCAGTTCATACCCCCCAGCTTGTGCTCCAAAACTACTTCCTTACGTCTTGTGTCACTTGTCCCACCTGCTTGCCTTGGCTACCCCAGGGCATCCTGGAGGCAGTGGCTACCTCTGAACAGATAACTGAAATCAGCCATGAAGGTAGATCTAGGAAACAATGGAAACCTATGTATGAAAGGACTCTAATAGCTGAAAGAGTCTTTTTTTGGCAGCACCACCAGCTTTTTTTCTACGAATTTTAATGATTTACTCTCATAGGTTTATTATTATTATTATTATTATTATTATTATTATTATTATTATTATTATTATTATTATTACTATTATATAATAATAATTTTATCTACAGCACTGTGGACAAGTACAATCAACCAAATTATGCTTTTTCTGTGAATAGTCTTATGCAAACATTTACCAAAATGTATTTCCTTTTTTTTTTTTCTTCTTCCTCTGCCTCCTCTGTCTTCAAGCACAACTCCAAGGGAAGAAGTCACTGAATTAAAGAATAACTCATGTTTAAGAGATCAAGATTGAGAAATGTGCGCCATGCCATCATAAAAGGACATAAGAAAGAGGTTCAACAGTGTTGGCCCAAGTGCCCATGACTGAAGGGTGCTTCTGGTAACTGGGTGGCAGGAGGACTTTGTACCACCAATGTCCAGCCACCACCTCCACCCCAACATCATCCCCTTCTTCAGTCCAAATATCACCAGACTGGCTAAAGGAAGACTCCAGGAGACCATGGCAAAGGCCATGATAAATCCAGGTTCACCACATTCACTTCTCTCCCCTCCCCTACTGCTTCAACTGTGGGAGCATTTTCCCCATCACATTCCCATGGGCAGAGGTGACAAGTGCAAATCTCCCAGTCCTTTTTCTTGTCCTTCCTGAAGATGTGTTTGATGTCTGCTTTTTTCCAAGTCCCTAGAAATCTCACTTACCCAAACGCTTGATGGCCAGGTCCAGAAAGGAAGAGTAGTGTGACATAACAGAGAGGGGCATCTGCAATGAACCTGTGCAATGGAGGTGACAGAAATCTCACAGGGACACCGGGGTTTGTTTCTGGAGTCACACAGGACAATGGCAGGGTTCTGTGAGGTGTCCACACCTGAGAAGACCTCATACACATAGGGCTGTTGAGAGATATGAGTCTCTGCCTTGCACACCCACGCACAGTGCAATGCACTATTTGCAGTGTCCTTCTGGCTCCTTCAGCCACTGCCAGAGGCTGGGAGGCACCTCAGCCGTGGGGTGCCTCACCCTGCTCTGCCCTCCCCTGAGATACCCCAGGACATGAGGAATGGGTACAGGGACCTCAGTTCAAGGAAGCACATCCCAGAGCTGCCTTCAGGTGGCTTCCCAGGGGATGTTACTTGGTCTTGTGACACTATCTGCCCAGCTGTCCTTCATGAGACTTCTAGGAGTAGCTGATGGCCTTTGTGCTCCTTCGTGTTCATCTCTCCACAGGCATATGATGTGCCTCCTGGAACCAGCATTGGGTTTCTCTTTCCACGTCTCCCATGCACATACAGCAGGCCCTGCTCTTCTGGGAAATCCTATCCCCCAAAGAGCAATGACCAATGGCCTGGTCAGTCATTGCTGAGCCTCCTGCCCATACACTCCACAGCTCTGAGCTTGTGATGGTGGTCTCCAGAGTATGAAAAATGAGCAAAAGATAACCTTGTTCCTGCAATGTTTTATGAGTCATATACAGAAGACAATGGGCTTTTTTATTTTATTATTTTATTTTTTTTTTTAAAAGATTATCAGGTTTTATCAGGTCATCAGTTTCCCCAAGGCATCCTTGAGCTCCTGGTTCCTCATGCTGTAGATGAAGGGGTTCACTGCTGGAGGCACCACTGAGTACAGAACTGCCACCACAAGGTCAAGGGATGGGGAAGAGATGGAGGGGAACTTCAAGTGTGCAAACAGGACAGTGCTGACAAAGAGGGAGACCACGGCCAGGTGAGGGAGGCATGTGGAAAAGGCTTTGTGCCAGCCCTGCTCAGAGGGCATCCTCAGCACCACCCTGAAGATCAGCACATAGGATAACACAATGAAAACAAAAGAACTGAAGAGTAAAGAAAAACTGAAAACAAGTAACTCAAATTCTCTGAGGTAGGCATCTGAGCAGGAGAGCTTGAGGATCTGGGGGATTTCACAGAAGAACTGCTCCACAGCATTGCCATGGCAGAGGGGCAGGGAAAATGTGTTGGCCATGTGCAGGACAGCTTGGAGAAAGCCACTGCCCCAGGCAGCTGCTGCCATGGTGGCACAAGCTCTGCTGCCCAGAAGGCTCCTGTAGTGCAGGGGCTTGCAGATGGCAACGTAGCGGTCGTAGGCCATGATGGTGAGAATTGAAAACTCTGAACCAAAGAAGAAGACAAAAAAGAGGACTTGTGCAACACACCCTTGATAGGAGATGGTCCTGGTGTCCAAGAGTGCATTGGCCATGGCTTTGGGCAGAGTGGTGGAGATGCAGCCCAGGTCGAGGAGGGCGAGGTTGAGGAGGAAGAAGTACATGGGGGTGTGGAGGCGGTGGTCGCAGGCTATGGCTGTGAGGACAAGGCCGTTGCCCAGGAGGGCAGCCAGGTAGACGCCCAGGAAGAGCGCAAAGTGCAGGAGCTGCAGCTCCCGCTTGTCTGCGAATGCCAGCAGGAGGAATTCACTCACAGAGCTGCTGTTGGGCATTTTCTGACATTGAACACAGTTGTCTGTTGAAAAGGAGAAGGCATAATAAAGTTAGAAGAGACCTCTCTGAGGAAAACATTTTGAAAGTCTTAGAGCACCCTCATCCCAAGCCTCTCTCTGAGAAAGAGAATCTTTCTGCAGCTCTACCGCTTGAGTCCCAGCTGATTCTTTCTGAGGCTGGCACTGGGAGCAGGGATTCCTGTGGGCTCCAGAGGAGTCCTTCCTGCTGTGAAGCATTCAGGAAGCAGGAACAAGGGGGAAACTGAAGTTCAGTCCACTTATAAGATCCATGAACTTCGCAGTGTTGTTGCAAAGAACACCTCCCTCCAGTATAGAGCAAGGCAGATTTTCTTATGCTGAGTACAACAAGCACACTCTACTGTTTCCCAATATGTAGAGAGCTTAAAGCAGAGAAGCCCCAGTCCCACTGCAGATGGACAGAATCCTCACCTTGTCTGCAAGTGCATGAGCAGGACCTCAGCTTCTCCCTCTTTGCCAGGGCTGCAGAGGCCTCACTCCAGCTGCCCACAGACAGCCAGTCAGCAGCAAGGACATGGCATTAGTGCAGAGGTGTCTTCTCCTTGTGGCACCTGGAGAAAACAAGGATGCCAAGAGAGAGCTGCATCCTGCTGGAGAGCAGCCTGCAGCCCAGGAGGATGCACCTCAGACAGCTGAATACTTGAAAGCTGGGCTGTCCTAGCATCCCGGCTGCACCCCTGCAGTGTCTGGAAGACGCTTAGCACTTGGCTCCTGGCTGTCCAGGGGAAGCTGGGTTATGGCTCTCCATGGACTTTCTGCCAGACGTCCTCACCTCACAGTGCAATCCAGCAGCAGTCTCAAAGCCTACTGCATTGCCCACTGCCCTCCCAGAAGCAAGACCCAGGAGGAGACCCTTCCAGGACCTGCAGCTGCATGGCCCTGCAGCCAAACACTTACCTTGTCAAGGGCTGTGCAGATTTCTCCTGCAGGCAGCTCTCAGCATCCTCCCATTCCCAGCTGCCTCCAAGTCCTCTCTCCTCCTCTCCTCTCCCCGTACCACCTGTGGTCAGAGCCCCCAGCCCTGCTGTACTTTGCAGAGGAGCTGCTCCTGGGCAGAGCTGTCTCTCTGCACCACCAGGGCCCTCTTGCCAGGAGCTCTCTCTGTCCCAGGATCCCGGCCCAGCTCAGCAGCACAGGCCCAGCCCAAGGCATTGCAATCACCCCTCTGGGGGCTTTCCTGATGAGCCCACAAACCTCAGACACTGAGAGCAAGTTGAAGGAACCTCTCCAGAAGTCCTAATCAGATGTATGTTTCCTGCAGTGTCCTTCCAAGGCCAGCACTGACACAGCATCCCTTGGAGCTCGTTAGAGCAGAACACTGGAGGAAGTGAGGACAAGGAGACAAAGGCAATGTGAAGGTGACACGGATGAGTAGACAAACTGGATGTGTTTCACCAAGCACAAGGGCCCAGACAATAAAGAATGATTTAAAATTTGAAAAGACTGAAAAGGAAGATAAAATTGTAATAATAACAATAATAATTAGAAGAATATGTACAGAGCAAGTGATGCACCATGTAATTGTTGAGAAGCCCCTCACCATTGCTCAACCTGTCCCTGAGCATTGGTTCACCTGACCCTGGCCAGCCCACATCAGGATCTGTTGTGCATGTCCCTTGGCCTTAATTTCTTTTAGTGCAAAATCAGCTTTCAGAAGGATTTGGAGTATTTTCTTCCCTTTCTCAAATACTTCCTCTGCTCTGTCACCCCACACAATGATGCCATCGATGTAGTGCAGGTGTTCAGGAGCTTCCTCCTCTTCCAGTGCAGTTTAGGTCAGACCATAGTCCATCAGGGCTGTGTTTCCAGCCCTGGGGCAGTTGATTCCAGGTTGCAACAAACTACGGCCTTCACTCTGCTGGCAAACGGATGGAGAAAAATACATTAGCGATATCAATTGTGGCAAAACACTTGGATGCCTTTGATTCCAGTTTTCATGGAAGCTCTACCGTGTCTGGCATGGCAGCACTCAGCATTGCATGACTTCATTCAGGCCACGATAGTCCTCTGTTAGTGGACTCGATTGGTGCTATACTGACTCAGGTGCACGGTTGTGGTAGTGATTGGCACCAGCTGTCCTTCAACCCTCATCAACCCCACAACAGAAAAGTCCTTTGAGAGACCAAGGCAAGGTAGACAACAGTTTAAAGTCCTCCATCTCCAAGGCAGCTATGCCAAAAGCCCACCAATACCCTTTTGGGTCCTTAAAATATCTATCCTCTCCTGAAGTAGTCTCTTGCAAGGATGCACAGAGTCTCTGGGTTAGTGCCAATGGATTGCTTTTGCCACTCCTTCCCACTTAGATACACTTAGGCCAGGACCCAGTACACTGCAGTGGTATGTGTTTCTTTGGAAATGCCAGGGTGATAGCACCTCCTTTTCAAGCATTTAACCATTTTTTATTAGGATTCTGCACTTGCTTGGGGATGACCTTCCAAAGCTTTGGAGGTGCCCACTGCTCTAGGTGCCTGCCCATATCCTCACACACTCCTTGCCACTCTAAACTCTCCTGCCACCAGAGAGATATCTGAATGGTATTCTTAAGTTGTTCTGAAACACATTCAGGAGACATAACAATAGGAACATGCAGGTTTGATCATCCCAAGGATATTCACAACTTTGAAGAGCTAGTGTAACTAGCAGAAAGGGAGAGTGAACCAGTGGGGAAAAGTGTCTTCCTCTTGTCTCCCCCACAGCTTGGTTTCCTGAGGAGAAAAGGTCCAGAGTGTAATTCTTAATAGTTTCTGAGAGATGGCTCCCAAGATATGGAGGTAATGGCAATGCTGAGTACAAGTACCAGATTAGTTTCATGACCAGGAATTTTACCATATCTTAAGCCAGTGTTACAAGGTACACCAAAAGAATAAAGTTAAACCAGCCATCAGAAAAGATAAACAGCATGACAGGGGAGACACAGAGTAAATAATGTTCTATACAACACAATTCTGAAATGTAGCACAACAGACCTGAGATTTAAGAAAAAAATAAAAGGAAAAAAGAAGGAAAACCAACTTTGTGATCAGCAAGTATTAAAATCAACTAATGCTTATAACAGCTTTCTTTTAACATGCTGAGGTCAGATTTGTCATTGGCTCAATCTTTGTGCTCCATGTTGGGCACCAAAAAGAGCGTGGTTTATCCCGGCAGGCAGCTCAGCACCACACAGCCATTCACTCACACACACACCCTGCTACATCCCCAGTGGATGCAGGAGAGAATGAGGAGAGGAAAAAAAATAAATTAAAAAAGAAATCATGGGTTGAGGTAAAGACAGTTTAATAGGACATAAAGGGAAGACAAATAATACGAACAATGGTAATGATCATCATGATGGTGATTGCCTTTCCTGCAGCAGTGGTACCCCCTACCCTGGACAGCCAGCCCATATTGATTTTTCTGGAACATCCTTTTGGCTACTTGGGGTCTGGAACATCCCTTTTGCTGTTCCATGGTCTGGAAAATCCCTTTGGCTACTTGGGGTCAGCTGTCCTGTTTCTATCCCCCCAAGCTTCTCAGGCACCCCCAGCCCCCCACTGCTGGGCAACAACTAAGCCATCAGCGTGTAATCAGCATTCTTCTCATGCTAAATCCAAAGCACAGCATCATACCAGCTACTAGGAGGAAAATTAACTCAATCCTAGCCAACTCCAGGACACCCATATACTAAAGGCATGATATCTCTGTGTGAATATCAAAAGAGGAAAGGTGGTGGTGATTAATTGGAAAGTACTGGAGCTGAGCATGATGCAGATGGTATAGAATATGGGGTGGATATTGTCCATGTGTTGGCTGGAATAGACTTAATTTTCTTCAATTAGATGGTACAGCGCAGTGTTTTGTATATCGGAGGCAGTTCCAGACAAAATAACAGCATGCATGAGAAGGAAGAACAGAAAAAGTGAAATCCGGCAGCATTCCATCCCCTACCCTTCAGTGATTCTGTGCTGCAATTCCATTCAACTGGTTACTCCTGTGTTACCCAAACTGTGCTACAAACACCTGCTACTGTTGTCTTGTGAGAGATAGCACAATCAGGGTGACCTGTCTGCCTGCAGATATTAACACCTGACAGAATGGACCATCAGTGTGGAGGAAACATTGAGAAACTGCAGGATTTTGCCTACAGGAACCTCTTGGCATTTACAAGGATCAGAGCCCAGTCCTGCACCAGAGGAAGAGGAACCCCACACATCAGGGCAGACTGGGACCCTGCTGAGTGAGCAGTGCCCAGGAGGAGGAGGGCCTGGGCACCACAAGGGATGTCATAGAGCAGAGGTGCCTGCTCACCAGGAAGCAGGCCAGCTTCCTACAGAGCTGCCTTACGAGGAGCATGGCCAGCAAGCAATCTAAGTTATCAGACTCATCTCAGGTCCCCTGAGACACTACACAGACAAGGGTGTAGAGACAGCAGGAAAAGAGGTGCAGGTGTGAGAGTCCCTTGGACAGCCTGGTGTGGAGAGGAGCAAGGGCTGTGGCAAGGCTGAAAGTGCCAACAGGACCTAGGTCTCTGTGCCTGAGGCTACGACTGCTGTCTGTGCCACTGAGGCCCATCAGGACACAGCTTATCGTTAAAGCACCAGAGCCTCATTGCCTCCTTACCTCCACCCATGAACTAGGCAGGGGTCGTACCATTCTCCTGCACTTGGCAATGCACATCCACATCTCCTGCTGCCTCAAGAAGAGCACGGAGCAAGGTGTGAAGGGAAAGGATCTCCCTTCCCAGAGGCTGGAGGTCAAGGCCTGGCCCCTGTACTTGCTGAAATGCATCTACTTTGTCTACACCTCAGTGTCACCTTCACATTGCCTTTGTTTCCTTGTCCTCACTGCCTCCAGTGTTCTGCTCTAACGAGCTCCAAGAGAGGCTGTGTCAGTGCTGGCCTTGGAAGGACACTGCAGGAAACATACATCTGATACATCTGACCTGGACTTCTGGAGAGGTTCCTTCAACTTGCTCTCAGTGTCTGAGGTTTGTGGGCTCATCAGGAAAGCCCCCAGAGGCATGATTGCAATGCCTTATGCTGGGACTGTACTGCTGAGCTGGCCTGGGCTCCTGGGACAGAGAGAGCTCCTGGCAAGAGGGCCCTGGTGTAGAGACAGCTCAGCACAGGAGCAGCTCCTCTGCACAGTGCAGCAGGGCTGGAGGTTCTAAACACAGGCACCCAGGCAAAAAGGGATCCAGGCAGCCTGGAGGGTGCACGCAGAGGAGAGCTCAGTGCAGGAGAAACCTTCACAGCTCTGCCCATGGTAAGTCTATGGCTGCAGGGCAGTGCAGGGGAGGTTCCTGGAAGGGGCTTCTGGATGTGGGATGTCTCTGCCTAGCCAGGAGCTGCCAAGATGTCTCTTGTGCTTGTGCGGTGTAGAGGAGAAGGTGCTGTAGGGCAGCTGCAGGTAGCAGGGACATGGGCAGGCAGTGAGAGGGAGCTGCTCCCTCCCTGCCATCCCCTGCAGTGCAGGCAACTTCCTTGCAGCAGCCCCTGGTCTCCTCTCTTCCCCTCAGAGCTTCTGTCATGGGTTGTACAATATGGGCGGCTGAGAATATGGGGTGTATGAACCTTAAATCTCTGTGTAAGTAGTCACATTTGTTGCAGGCCCCCTCCACCTTCCTCCAAAGAAGAAGGCACAGAATCATTGAATCATAGAATATCCCGAGTTGGAAGGGACCCACAAGGATCATTGAATCCAGCTCCTGGCTCCACAGAGGTCTTACCCCCAAATTCCTACCATATGACAAGGAGCATATTCCAAACGCTTCTTACACTCCAGAGCTCTTGTCCCTCTGCTGTCTGTGCCAGCCAGATGGCACAGGGCTGTGAGGACAGGGTCTACCTTACCAACACCGCAGCCTCTGCACTGGGCTGGGTCTGCCCTGCCTGCCCATGCCTGCT